TTTGTCGCACAATGATTCCTTATCAACTCCGTTTTATTAGAGAGGATTTAATAGATTATTCATTACAGTAACAGATCGTTCTTTTTTTCTTTTCCCTTCCGTTTTCATTTTCGGAGCATTAATCTGATGTGTCTATTCACTGTTAATAACCCAAGAAATATTCCTACGCCGTAATCGTATTTTCTTACTGATTATTTTCTCATTCTTATTAACATTGTTTCCTTTCTTGTTATTTTTTCTTTAAAAATCTCCGCCACAGATACACTCTAAATGCATTGATACACAAATTGGAAAAGTGGTGGATAGAAAAAGAAAATGAATACAGATGAATTTGGCTAGAGTGAAAAACAAAACAAAAAAAATTCTTTCAAAAATATTCAAAAATTTTGAAACTACCAGCGTCTCTCGTTTCGTACACATGTGTAGACGTGACAACATCAACTCTTAAATCTTTTTTTGAGTGTTTGACGGCTCCAACTAACATCTTTATTTTGTACATTTATTTTTATATTTTTGTTTTGTTTTTTGGGGGTTCATACACTTTTTCTCCTCATTATGTATCATGTACAGATTTTATATATAGAATTTTTATGCTCATTAATTTTTTCTGTCATGAGGTGCATTTTGTAGGTACCTTGAGTGTATGCGTTATTATGGTATATGGACGATTGAATGATGATGGATGAGTTCTTGTGGTGGATGTGCAAATTGTACCGAGTGAATGGGTCGTGAAGCTAAGTATAAGATAGTGACAACCAGCCTCAATTTGATGAGTGTAGAAAGACCCGGAACGATTGGTCTCTCACAGTTGTGCAGGGACTGTGAATAAACGCTAAAAATACCGGAACGAGATGTCGCGGCTGTGAATGCAGGTGCCACTGAGAAGCGCCGTAGATACCGGAATGAGAGGTCGTGTGCTTGGAGTGCAGGTACCGTTGAGAAGCGCTGTAGATACCGGAACGAGAGGTCGTGTGCTTGGAGTGCAGATACCGTTGAGAAGCGCTGTAGATACCGGAACGAGAGGTCGTGCGCTTGGAGTGCAGTTACCGTTGAGAAGTGCTGTAGATACCAGAATGAGATTGTGCTTGGAGTGAAGGTACTGTTGAGAAGCGCTGTAGATACCGGAACGAGAGGTCGTGCGCTTGGAGTGCAGATACCGTTGAGAAGCGCTGTAGATACCGGAACGAGAGGTCGTGCACTTGGAGTGCAGGTACCGTTGAGAAGTGCTGTAGATACCATAATGAGATTTTGCTTGGAGTGCAGGTACCGTTGAGAAGCGCTGTAGATACCGGAACAAGAGGTCGTGTGCTTGGTGTGCAGATACCGTTGAGAATTCCTGTAGATACCAGAATGAGATTGTGCTTGCAGTGAAGGTACCGTTGAGAAGCGCTGTAGATACCGGAACGAGAGGTCGTGCACTTGGAGTGCAGGTACCGTTGAGAAGTGCTATAGATACCATAATGAGATTTTGCTTGGAGTGCAGGTACCGTTGAGAAGCGCTGTAGATACCGGAACAAGAGGTCGTGTGCTTGGTGTGCAGATACCGTTGAGAATTCCTGTAGATACCAGAATGAGATTGTGCTTGCAGTGAAGGTACCGTTGAGAAGCGCTGTAGATACCGGAACGAGAGGTCGTGCACTTGGAGTGCAGATACCGTTGAGAAGCGCTGTAGATACTGGAATGAGAGGCCTGGCTTTGTCCAATGCAGCCTGGAGGAAGAAAACGAATTTCCCCTTAAAAGCACTAATGGTAATCGTATACCATGTAATCAGGGGAAAGACAGTGCCTTAATCCTGAAACGGTTTCTCGAAGCACAGTTTAGTATGTCCACTACGAAAATAGATCGCGCCCGTAACCAAGCAGTCCGTACACAGGTTCGGTTGATATAGCAGGACCCCGTAGCAAATCGCGGTACATACCGGTTAGAGACGAACTACCGGTAAAAGCAGTGAATCGCACGATAACTCGGCGTGGAACAATAGGAGCTCTCCTCTGCCTAAAAATGCATCAGCCACATAAGCAGGGTCACCGTATAGCGTAGAGAGCTTCCCACAAAGCAGGGTGTGGCACAAGGCCAGTTTTTGTAACGTACGGGGTTCCGAGCCCGTGAGATAGGGCAAAAATTGCCTGTAGACCACGTATACACGGGGTTGGGTTTGTCTACCTCCCCAGAGGAGACGCTGCCCTTCAGCATAGCCTCGTCTGGGTTTCTCTCCTCCCGGAGTCAGAGTGGTCGACAAGAGAGGAAGAACCTATCCGAGATTTATCTTTACATTTGAAATTATAACTATAAAAAATTAAATTTGAAATTGTAAGTGTAAAAATTACATTTGAAATTATAATTATAAAAATTACATTTGAAATTATAAGTGTAAAAATTACATTTGAAATTATAACTATAAAAAATTAAATTTGAAATTATAAGTGTAAAAATTACATTTGAAATTATAACTATAAAAAATTAATTTTGAAATTTTATGTGTAAAAATACATTTGAAATTATAACTATAAAAAAAATTAAATTTAAAATCTATAACTATAAAATATGAAATTAAAAATTATAACAATACAAATAAAATTTGGAATTATAACTAAAAATTAAAATTGAAACTATAACAATACAAAATGAAATTTGAAATTATAACTATAAAAAATTAAAATGAAATTTTAAATGTAAAAATTTAATTTGAAATTAGAACTATAAAAATTAAACTTAAAAATATGACTGTAAAAAAATAAATTTAAAATTATAAATATAAAAATGAAATTTGAAATAATAACTGTAAAAAATGAAATTTGAAATTATAACGTCAAAAAATTAAATTTGAAATTATAACTATGCAAAACTAAATTTGAAATCTATAACTAAAATATGAAATTAAAAAAAATGAAATTTGAAGTTATAAGTATAAAAAATTAAATTTAAAATCTATAACTTTAATAAAAACGGAGAGTTCGGTATAAAATAGCCCAAGGAGTCTTGTCTACTGACCTCGTTTAGTACCAACAAATGAAATGCTAAAATAAACAAACAATGATGAGGAAAATGGTGATAAGGAAATTCAAAGAAAACATTAATTATTGAAATTTATGTTGAACCAACGTTTGTAGCAAATATATACAAGGATTATATATATATATATATATATATATATATATATATATATATATATATATATATATATATATATATATAAATAAAGCATTGTGTGTCTGTGTGTGTCTGTGCGTATCAGTACATGTGCTGGACATGCACATTTGTTTTATCACCGTCTCGCATGAGATAGCCCGGATGTCAACAAGTGATATATAATAATTCAATTTCCCGCCGGCCGGGCAATGATCCGTCAATGATCATGCTCCTTGACCGGAAGTAGACGCGGCATCTTTGTGAGTTTGGTGACAACGCAGACAAAGCTCGACGACGACAACAATAACACTGACTTTTTCTCAACCTACTCAAACTACACCCCCTTCTTTTACATTCTTTATTACTCTTATTATCGTCAGTATTAGGGTCAGTAGTAGGGTCATTCGTCATTCGTTGTTAATGGCCGCCTCAGTCTCACCATATCTGAGAAGCAATGGGTTTGAATTTAGTAAGGCCCGCCATTTTGTTGGATGAACGGAAAGAACATAAAAATAAAGATCGTGTCTTTATCGCGTGATTGACGTCACAGTGTGGCTCAAGCTATTCTCAAATAAAACTTGAAAAGACATTGACATGGAAATATTAATGTATGCACGCTGTACAAGTAGGTGGAAACATTGTGTATAAAGGATATAGGTATGTGTTCTTTATATATTTTATATGTGTTTCAGGTTATATGTTCAAGTTATATAGGTATACTCGTTATAATTTATTAAGATTGAAAGCAAGCGAATAACCTACTTAAAGAAATTGTGTAAGTGACAGGTAGAACAGGGATTAGCAAAAACACAAAATTTACTAAGAGCTACAAAGGAGAGGAAATTGTGGAGAGCCATGATCGTCCACGTTCTGAAGGGACACGGCAAATATAAGAATAACGAACTTGTTTAAATCGCTGGTAGAACAGGGATTAGGAGATATAGCAGAAAGACAAAATTTACGAAGAGCTAAAAGGGCAGGAAATTATGGAGAGCCATGATCGCCCACGTTTTGAAGGGACCATTCTAAGGGCTAAATATCAGGCTAGAAAGGTCTTTGTTAGATTCCATGTTAAAAGTCACTTGTCAGATTGGCACAAAACTATCTTCTTCACTGACACTTGACCCTGTGCTAGATATTTTAAGGCGTAAATAGACCTTTCCTTTATTATCTGTGAATTCCGATGCATTTTTGTGAAATAATGGGTTTCCATTGTCTTCTCCACAGTTTTGGAAGTCAAAGTACTTTTTTTCTTTTAGACTGTTTGCCACGCATAGGTTTATGATTATTCTAATATATTTACGGAATATATCAAGGTTGCTGGGCAGTTCGAACAGATACTTGTGGCGTACTTTGTCGAACGCCTTTGCGTAATCTATAAAACATAGTTACACGTCCTTCTGCATTTGTATTGCTCTTCCTGATAACATTCTGAGCATAAATATCGCCTTTCTTGTTCCAGTGTCTTTAACGAACCCGCACTGTTCTTGTCCTATCTCTGTCCTGATTTTGCTGTGTGCTCTATTCATTAGAATATGGATAGTGAGTTTTGTTACATGGCTCATTAGGCTGATTGTCCGGTGGAGTTCACATTCGTTTGCGCTTAGTTTTTTAGTCAGTGCTATGAAAATAGATCTGCTGAGATCTTCCGGTATATCCCCACTGTTGCCATCAATACTTACACTAATTTGAAAGAAAAAAAAAAGCTTTCTTAATTCTTATTATAAACAGTATATTAACTACAGAAAAATGATTAACAAATGATAGATAGATAGATAGATAGATAGATAGATAGATAGATTAGGTTGAATCATAAATAATTTCCGTTTTGGGGAATCAATTGTAATGATGAATGTATGAGACGTATCACGTTGAAATCCCGGTTCTCGTCCGTTCACCGAAGTTAAACAACGTTGAGCATGGTCAGCATTAGACGGGTGACCATTCGGGAATGCGAGGTGTTGCCACCTTGAGTGTGCGATTAGTGTAATGGATAACGGTTCGAAATGAGAACTCGGAGAGCCGAGTTCGAATTCCAGTCTAGTTCGGTACATTTACTTTGCGCGCAAATACTCTTGGGAAAGGTATGGATCTATGTCTTCTCCCTCAAATATCATCCCGGGTTAAATAGCAGGAGAGACAGGATAGCCTTGGTTGGAAGTCAGTCTACTGCATCACTCATGGTAGCAAAGGAAGATGGGATATATCTTTTTTACTACAATTATTTCATTATATTTTTTAATTATTGACTATATTTCTTATTTCATACAAGTATATATTGTTTGATTTACTTTTTACAACTGATTTTATCCGTTTCTTTCCCATGTTACATTCTGTATACTCCTTGAAACACCGGTACGATAATCGAAGTTAAGCAACGTTGAGCTTTGTTAGTACCTCGATTGATGACCGTTTAGGAATACCACGTGCTGTAAGCGGTTGATGTAATGGATAATGGGTCGGAATTGTTAATCACTCAGCCGAGTTCCAATTCCATTTGAGTTCGTTATATTCACTTACCTTGGGAAAGATATGGATTCACCATTTCTCTCTCTTTAAACATTATTACCTCCAAAAAAGATTCTTACACTCTGAAAATATTTATCGGGTTGCAAAGGGTTGATAAGCCGTAAAATACCAATCAATCAATTAATCAATCACACAGATAAAAGTAACGAAATCCACAACTCTATTCGTCCTTACAATTCTGTTAAGATGAGTCACTCCATTTTGGGGAAGCAATTCTAATGACGAATGCGTAATCCTAACTCATAATCATACGTGGTAGTTAAATGGAGTACATTAACATAGGATGGATAGATAGATAAATAGATAGATATCTATAGATATATATTCAGAAAGATAAATTACGAACAGACTGAAATACATAGATAGATAACGAACAGACTGATAGATAGATAGATAGATAGATAATTATCAGATTCTAATAGATAGATAACGAACAGACTGATATATATATATATATATATATATATATATATATATATATATATATATATAAGTGGGAAAAATTTAAATCTGCATGGCACTTTACTCCAATTGGCTCATTCACTTGCTTAAACTCAACGTTGATTCTGATTCCGCAGAACTGGGTTGCGTGTGAAAAAGTATTTGTTGTTAACATTCTTTTTTCATTCGGTTTTTCCAGTTACGAGTCCTTTTTTAAAGCTGACCGCTTTGTGTTCATTTTGTTTAGTTCTTTTTTCGTAACAGATTTAATGTTTAGTATAGAGCTTAGAAAAAATACGCAGTGTGAGATAGGCAAGAAGTAAGGCGTGTAGCAACATCAGCACGGCAAAGGGCACTCCCTTAAAGGCAAGGAAGTCAAGTGATAGCGATTGCTGTATGAGTCATACGATTTTTGAATCAAGCACGGGCAACGCCGGGCCATGCTGCCAGTATATATATATATATAGACAGGTAAACGTACCTAACTATATATATAGGATTTGCATAAGTGTATATGTGGTATATATCTGAAAAAAAAAACAACAAAATCTTTAATATTACCTTCAAGTATTACTCCATCTTAATTCGAAACCTAAACTTTAAGTAAGAAAGATTACCCATCTAAAAATAATTACAAATTACATTCATGAATTAGATTCAAACTAATAAAGATGTTACCTTAACTGTCTTTTATAATATTAAAAGAGTACAATTGGTCGGGTAAACAAACTGTTATAGTTTAAACTTTTTTAAAATGTGTTCTCTATGAATGTGTTAATAAATACTGTATTTAACTTATATTAAATCCCTAAATTATTTTTAAATAAGTTAAATATGTAAATTGCTAGCAAGCATCTAATTAATTTCTTCGTGAATTTTTTTAGACATCTCAATTACTATCAAACATTAAAATCTATTTTTTACATAAATTGCAAAAACTTACCACCCCTCTCCTTCATATGTAAAACCCATTTACAGCCTCTCTCTCTTTACTTCCCCCTCTTTCTTTCTTCTTTTTTCTTTTCTCTCTTCTCCCCTCCTATTTCAATACATCACTTCTGTTAAATTAACCGTTTAAATAGGTCAAGGTCTGGTCACTCCTCGTCCCCCAATATTATGTATGATTGAGAGAAATATTAAATTAAACCCTCTCTAAAATCTACCATGTCTCTCTAACCACTCCTTATTACACTCTCTGTTAAATTACAAAAACTTACACTACCCATCAATTTTAATTTCATTTTTCATTTCATTTTTGGAAGTGCTATCTGATGATCCGGCGTCCTTTAAAAGGGCTCTGGTGAAATAAATTATTATAATGGAAGCTTAAATTGGTCTGTTTTCTATATATATATATATATATATATATATATATATATATATAATTTGTATATTTAAGCAGCAATCCTTCTGTCATGCACATTTCACTGGATACGACAGACAAGGTGATTTTATTTAGTTTTTTTTATACAATTTCTCATACGATCTAATAATTTTTTTCTTTTCGGATGATTTTTTATATAATTTATCATCTGAAAAGAAAAAAGATTATTAGATCGCATGAGAAATTGTATAAAAAAGTAAATAAAAGCCCCTTGTCTGTCGTATTCAGTGAAACGCGCATATATATATATATATATATATAGAGAGAGAGAGAGAGACAGACAGACAGACAGACAGACAGACAGATAGATAGATAGATAGATAGATAGATAGATAATGGGCAGATTGAGATGAATAGATAATGGTGAATATATAATCAAATAAAATGTAATTGTAATTGCTGTGTAGAAAGACTATCTAACCTTCTCTACACTATTATTGAAACATGGACTCGTCAATCCGTTATGAGTATCGTGTCTGCTCATGGAACGGCGACAAAAAGTGGGTCGCTAAGGCGTAGCTCTTTCATTTTTACTGAACTAACGTTATTCTCAGTTTATGTTATCCTGTGATGAAACCTTTCTTCATTCAATCTTTTTTTTTCCAGTGTTTCCCTTAAAAGTCTTAATAAACAGCAACTATGAGCGTTATCCGAACGTTATAATAGCAATTCATCTTTTTTTTTTAAGGAATAAAGGAATTTATTTTAAGGAATAAAGGAATTTTTTTTAAGAATAAAGGAAACTATTAACTGAATATATCGAATTTGATAAAATAATATTTAAATAAACATATAACTGAGCATCTGCTGTGTCAGTCAGTTATGTGCCATGCATGATGCACACTTCAATAGACCCTTTCGATACGTGACTGACGATGTAGAACATTCAAGGCATGTCCTGCTATTTACCCATAGCCTAGGAGAAGAAGAGGATTCCTACCTTTCCCAAAGGTATTAGCACGTAAGTGAATGTAATGGATTTAACTGGAATTCGAACTCGGTTCTCCGATTCCTCAATCCGAGCCGCTATCCACAACTACACCGTGCCTCCTGCTGTGTACTATATGGGAATCATGACACGATTGCAGTATCGTAATGGTCCTTTCTATTATTGCTGGTGATAAAACCCAGAGTTAGCATTCGATTGACTTTTAAAATACATAGATAACTCGCCAGCTATTTAGAACAATTCTTCAGCTCAGTGAACGGATAACATTTACTGCCAATAATTGCTTAATTAGGATCTAATTAGATACTATTAACGTACGATTTACGCGATTTGGGAAGTTGGGAAGGAGTTAAATCCAAAAGAGAATAAAATAAAAACACTATTTTGCAATCAATTCATTGACGGAGGCAGGGGCGCTTTGCGATTAAACTTTTATGGACATATTGCAGTTGCTGGAGGCATAAACGCGCTTTGCGATTAAACTTTCATGGACACATTGCAGTTGCTGGAGACATAAACGAGCTTGCGATTAAACATTTATGGACACATTGCAGCTGCTGGAGGCATAAACGCGCTTTGCGATTAAACTTTCATGGACACATTGCAGTTGCTGGAGGCATAAACGCGCTTGCGATTAAACTTTTATGGACACATTGCAGTTGCTGGAGGTATAAACGCGCTTTGCGATTAAACTTTTATGGACACATTGCAGTTGCTGGAGGCATAAACGCACTTGCGATTAACCTTTTATGGACACATTGCAGTTTCTGGAGGCATAAACACGCTTGCGATTAAACTTTTATGGACACATTGCAGTTGCTGGAGGTATAAACGCGCTTTGTGATTAAACTTTTATGGACACATTGCAGTTGCTGGAGGCATAAACCCGCGTTTTGCGTTTCATTGCGTTTTAAGAACTCTAAATGAATACTCCGACAATATAATAATTTATGGAGCTCAACTTTTGGGGTCAGTTTTGATTTATTAATGTTCACCCAATACAAGGCACAAGAGCCACTCAAGGTAGAGGGTTACTGTATTGACTTATATTAACGCACGAAAGGACAAGCGTTGGGAGTATGGAACTGAAGCAGTCTTTAGAAGGAATCGGAAACATATTCCTAAACAGGAAACAAGGGATAAACCTCTACTATCCAAAAGACTGGGGAGGAGTGTGAACCGGGCGACAAGTGAACCTATCTACTATTGCGAACCTAGTTGCAGTATAAGCAATAGAGAAGGCGCCTGTAATAGGGTTTAATTAACTGCCCTGAAAGACCTAGTAGTAGCCGGGTATTGAATTCACTCTTTGAGTCCTGTCACTGGATCTAACTAATGCCTTTATCCACTGTGCCATGTGTTCTTGAGGACCTTACCCGGGTATTGAACTCACACTCGGTTAAGGCAGTGGAGAACTTTCAGAGGGGAATTAACTGGAGATAACTGATAACTGACATCCATTAAACATGGCACGTGGAACTAGAACAGTCTACTCTAGTGAGCAAAATAAAGGATTCAGTTCGAAATTCCAACCACCTGAAGAAGGCCGGAGCGTAAAACGTCCAAAACGTTGTAATAAATATGGCGACAAAGACGAGGACAATAGTCCGAATAATGTAAATAGTGTACATAATACCTCCTCTCAGAAATATAGACAGATACTG